GAAGTTTGTGATTTCGCCAGGCATTGTTCATCATCATTACCATCATCCTATAACACTGCGTGTCGTCGGGTCACCAGTTCCTACTAACTGTCTGATCAGCTCCCTTCACGTTTGACGGTCGCTTGTAGTGGACTTTGTGGCTACAAGCCAACGACCTGTTCAGTCAGTCAAGTTCTGTATGCAGTTCTTTCGTGGTCTGCCTCTTCTCCTCTTCCCATCTACTCGGCCCTGTAATATTGTTCTTGAGAAGCCGTTAAATCTAATTGTACATTAGCGCCACCGCATTTCCCCCTCGTCACTGTAGTCAAAAAAGTTTTACAGATGCCAGTGTGCTCGTCGCCACCATAAGGCAGTGTTAATTTTAGTAATTTGCCCCTGTCATTTAAACTGTCCATTTTCGATGCCACTGGCGATACCAACACTAGGCGGTCGGCTGCCAAATCGCCCGCGTCCGAACTCCAACCAGACACCTCGGTATTGCTAAACGAGTTAGCAAGGCCTCAGCTACAGATTCGAACAAGGCCGTAATTATTTCTCATAATATTGCTTGTAATCAGATTTAAGACAGATCCTTCTGAAAAATCAAAATAAATATTCAAAAATAAAAGTGATCATCGTACAGGTACGGGATCCGCCCCGGCGACTAAACTAGGCCATGTACAATAAAATACTGCAGTAAAAACCGAAACAAATCGACGCCCACATCCAGGTCTTTACTTTACAAATGAGCAAATGCAGGCAGGGGCGGATTTAGACCCGATGAGGCCATAAGCTTTACAAAGACTGTTACCTTCAGTGGTTTAAATTACAACAGGTAATCAAATATATATACGTATATTTAGTTAGTTGCGTTTCGTTTACAAGACGTTGCAAAGCCAACCCCAGCATTTTTTGGCTTTGTAGTTTTTGTAAGCAAATTTTACGTTTAAAAGTTTGCTATTGCTTTCTAAATGGTCAGCTCTCGGTACTAATGTCGAAACCAACGCAAGACAGACAAGTAGTCTGCAGCTGGCATCGAACTCGGCACCCCGGCATTACGAAGCGCGTTAGCAACGCCTAAACCATTAGACACCGACTTACTCCTTTTAGATATATGAATAATAGAACGAGACACTTGTTTAAATGGTAATAGACAGTGTGTGCTTCGTCACAGTTATATTATTGAACCCTCCAAAAGGCTCTATTAAAAGAAAATGGCGCTCTCCTCTAAATGATGGGTCTGAGCGAAATATACACTAACAGTGCCTCAATAAAGTTGCTTCCGTTTGAGTTGCATCTATAAATATCCATTTAATTACTTGAGTGTTAAGGGTAATCCTAGCCCCTAACTTATTATATATATATATATATATATATATATATATATATATATATAAATTTAAATAAAGTCGGCAGGTCTAACATCTACCGCTGCCAGTTGTTCAATCGGTGTTGGAGCTGATAGTCTGCCTGATATATTTACCGGAAATAAATCCAAATTTTGCATATCAGTGAGGCCCTGTTAGGGTTTATGTTTAAACGCGATCACTCAGACCCATCATTCGGAGGTGAGCCGAGAAATGCATTTGTGATGAAATATGAGAGTTTTGATGCTCCTGCAGAGTGAGCCTTGAGCTAGAGCTGACTTAGCTCAAGTCTGAGTCTAGCTCTGTCCGCAGATCCAGGATGCTGTATCGTTTTCTTCTAAGCTAAAGTCTTATATTGTACAGCCCTAGCTTCTGACGTTCTGTACACAATGGTGTACCCACTCTTGAATCCCTGCCTCTCTAGATCTCTGTAGGAAGTTTGGACATGTCTCTCCTGCCAGATTTCATTATCTGTGCAACCAAACTGTTAGTATGTTGTTATTATGGTTTGGCCTGAAGTATTCGTCCTTGACACTTTAAGGGTTAAGATATACAGATGGTCACTACACATAATGCTGTCCATCTTTCCCATATAACTAATAAGCCATCATGGAAGGTGTCTTGTAACTATTTTACACCGCTCGGCTGAATCCAATGTCGAATTTTTCTGAAAGTGAATTATGTCATACGTGTGAATTTAAGAACCTTGAATTCTGGTATTCCATTTTTCATAAAACAAAGGACCCACTGCGGCCCCTCCCCTTTCCGTTTTTCCCTCCAACAAGCATGCCGCAGGAGGCTACTAACTAGGTGTGTTTTCTTCAAGGTCTGAGTGCATATGCCTGAGAGGCAAGGAATCAACAGTCTGCAAACAAATACGCAGATCTGTAAAACGAATATGCACGCAAAACTCAAGTTCTGACAAGACCAACGTCCTGGTATGGACGAACAACCATAACTTTGGCGACGGAGTTTATAGCCGTGGAACGTCCAAAAGAACAGAAGAGAGATGTTTTCTTAATTGTTGTCAACAGTTATTGTTTTAATTTTTAAATATGTTACGTTACTGTATCGTCCTTACTCTGGCAGTGCAACATCTCCGACCTTCGTGCGCAGAATCTCGTCGGACAGGAGAGGTTCCATTGTTGCTTCAGGAATGGCCAGTCCCAAGAAGTTTGCTAAAGTGAAGAATCTGCTGGATGAGAAAAGTTACATTGATACTCTCCATCAAAAAGTCATCTCGGTGAGTTGTCTTGCTTGTTGTAGATTTGTTTTTATGCGTGTTATATACTGGTTCTGTGTCTGTTCTGTTTTGGTTCTACGCTTGTCCTGTGTTGATTCTGTGTTTGTCCATTACTGGTTCTTTCTTTGTTCAATGTTAGTTATATTTGTATCTTATATTTGTATCTTATATTTGTTCTTCATTAGTTCGATGTTTGATCTACGTTTTTATGCTTGCCATATAATTGTTACTGTACAAAACCGGTATAATGCAATGGAAAATATACAAACAATTGATGAACAGTGGGATATGTTGCGTGAGTCAATTCAGCAGACATCAAAAGAGACAATCCCACCAACCCATACAGTTGCAAAAAAGAAATGGATGTCAACCGAAATTCTGCAGTTGATGGATGAAAGAAGGAAGAAAAAGAATGATAAAGAAGAATACTCTAGAATACAAAAAGAAATAGTGAACAAATGCAAAGTGGCTAAAGAAGCCTGGCTGAATCAAATGTGTACAGAGATTGGGGAAAATCACGGGAAAGACTCACATTCCATGTACCAACAGATAAAGATGACACGTAACAGCACTGGATGTTTGATATCAAAGGATGGTGACTTATTAATGGGACATAGTAATATAATTAACAGATGGACAGAGTATATAGGGGAATTGTATGATGATAATAGACCAGACGTAGAACTGCAGAACAACAATGATGGTCCACCAATAATGACTGCAGAAGTTGAGGATGCAATACATCATATGAAGAAAGGAAAAGCACCCGGGCCAGACAACATCTCACTGGAAGAAATCGAAGCACTGGGAAATTTTGGAATTGAAATAATAACTGAACTTTTAAATGATATTTATAACAGTGGGTATATTCCAAATGACCTTTTAAAATCCATATTTATAGCTCTGCCGAAGAAACCAGGCACTTTAAAATGTGAAGACCCATCGCACAATAAGTCTTATGAGTCACATGACTAAGATTTTACTGAGAATAATTATGAGAAGAATAAGAAACAAAATTAAAAACCAGAAATCAGCGATGAACAATGTGGATTTGTAGAAGGAAAAGGTACAAACAATGCCATATACATCCTAAGGACATTGTCAGAAAGAGCTATAGAAGTAAAGACTGATTTGTACTTATGCTTCATAGACTATACAAAAAGCATTTGACTGTGTGAAGCATGAAGAAGTAATCAAACTGTTTAGAAAAATTAAACATTGATGGGAAAGATCTAAGAATAATAAAGAATATGTATTGGCAGCAAACAGCAGCTATAAGAATTAACAACTGTTTTAGGTACATTTTCAAAGCATAAAGAGAGGCGTACGACAAGGATGTGTACTTTCACCTGATTTGTTTTCAATATACAGTGAAATATATTATGAGATCTTTAATTGATATGCCCGGAATCGTGGTTGGTGGGCACAATATAAAACAATTTTTTTTGACGTTATGCTGATGACACAGTCTTGATAGCAACAAAGTCAGAAAGAATTACAGGAAATGATAGACATTGTGGTGTAAGAAAGTGGAAGAATGGGCCTCAGTTTGAATAATGGGAAGACAGAAGTAATGGTGGTATCAAAGAAACAAATTATTCCTAAATGTGTAATAAAAGTCAATGGTGTTATTTTAAGACAAGTACAGAAATTTAAGTATCTGGGCACATGGATAACATCAGATGGAAGATGCATAACTGAAAATAAGAAACAGAATTGGACAGGCAAAAACTGAATTTTATAAAAAATGAAAAAAAACATCTTGTGCAATATATCCTTGTCATTGAGAGTTAGAAAAAGAATTCTTGCTTGCTACATACATCCAGTTTTAACATATGGATGTGAATCCTGGACAATCGGTAGGCAGGCCAAACAATTTTTAGAGGCCTCAGAGATGTGGTTTTTTACAGAAGAATGCTTAGAATACCTTGGACAGCCAAAAAGACCAACCAAGAGGTTTTAAAAGAGGCGGGAGACCGAAGACAACTTATCACTGACATCAGAAGGAGACAGTCATCATTTTTCGGCCATGTTATGAGAAGAGGGAAAATAGAACATGTTGTGACCACTGGAAAGATCTGTGGAAGGAGGGATAGAGGAAGACAACGAGAGAAGATGCTTGACAGTCTTGTTGCATGGCATGGAGGTGTGTCGGCACACGAACTGATACATGCTGCAGGAGATCGCGGATTATGGAGAGGCATGATCGCCCACGCCAGTCGGCAAGGCACCTGATGATGATGATGATGATATAATTGTTCTGTATTTGCTCTATCTTTATATGCAATTCTTAACGTCAGGGTGCTGGGTTTGATCCCAGCTGCTGGCGACTTGGCAGCAGACCATCTTGCGTTGGTTTCAACAGCGGTACTGAAAGAACCATTTAGTCAACAATGGCAAACTACTGAGCGAAAATGTGTTTAGAATAACCTCAACAGTCACAAATCTGCAACTCCCAGTAAAGGATAGACAGCCTAACTTTATTAAATGTTGTCCTGTTTGTTCAGTGTTGGCTATTTGTTCTCTGAGTGTTCTATGTTTCTTTTGCGGTTGGTTACGTTTGTTACATGTTTTTTTTTTTTTTTTACTATAAAATAGTAAAGTTATAGTCGGGAGATGTGAGCAAGTATCATTGAACACGGTTTTAAACAACCATAAGTGCTCTGCTACCAGTACGGACATTTGTTAAGGAACTCTCCACGTTCCTCCATTAACCCCAGAGTGTTAACTCTGGTAGCCATTACCTAGAGGCTGTGTGAACCCCGGGAACCGCCCGGTGTCGAACACCGCCGTGGGCTAGAACGAGTCGCACCTGGATTTGAAAGCGAGATGTTTTTTCTAAATTTTTTGTTTCCTTGTTCTAATGTATGGATCTAATGTATGGATCTAATGTATGGATCTAATGTATGGATCTAATGTATGGATCTAATGTATGGATCTAATGTATGGATCTAATGTATGGATCTAATGTATGGATCTAATGTATGGATCTAATGTATGGATCTAATGTATGGATCTAATGTATGGATCTAATGTATGGATCTAATGTATTGGATCTAATGTATGGATCTAATGTATGGATCTAATGTATGGATCTAATGTATGGATCTAATGTATGGATCTAATGTGTAATGGGATCTAATGTATGGATCTAATGTATGGATCTAATGTATGGATCTAATGTATGGATCTAATGTATGGATCTAATGTATGGATCTAATGTATGGATCTAATGTATGGATCTAATGTAATGGGATCTAATGTATGGATCTAATGCATGGATCTAATGTATGGATCTAGTGTATGGATCTAATGTATGGATCTAATGTATGGATCTAATGTATGGATCTAATGTATGGATCTAATGTATGGATCTAATGTATGGATCTAATGTATGGATCTAATGCATGGATCTAATGTATGGATCTAGTGTATGGATCTAATGTATGGATCTAATGTATGGATCTAATGTATGGATCTAATGTATGGATCTAATGCATGGATCTAATGCATGGATCTAATGTATGGATCTAATGTATGGATCTAATGTATGGATCTAATGTATGGATCTAGTGTATGGATCTAGTGTATGGATCTAATGTATGGATCTAATGTATGGATCTAATGTATGGATCTAATGTATGGATCTAATGTATGGATCTAGTGTATGGATCTAGTGTATGGATCTAGTGTATGGATCTAGTGTATGGATCTAATGTATGGATCTAATGTATGGATCTAATGTATGGATCTAATGTATGGATCTAATGTATGGATCCAATGTATGGATCTAATTTATGGATCTAATGCATGGATGCAATGTATGGATCTAATGTATGGATGCAATGTATGGATCTAATGTATGGATCTAATGTATGGATGCAATGTATGGATCTAATGTATGGATCTAATGTATGGATCTAATGTATGGATCTAATGTATGGATCTAATGCATGGATGCAATGTATGGATCTAATGTATGGATCTAATGTATGGATCTAATGTATGGATCTAATGTATGGATCTAATGTATGGATCTAATGTATGGATCTAATGTATGGATCTAATGTATGGATCTAATGTATGGATCTAATGCAACAGTTACATAGATGCTTTGTATCATCACCATCATTATCATCATCATTATCTTCTTCTTGTCCTCCTCCTCCTGCTACCCCCTCCTCCTTAAAAGATCGACTAACACATTGAAGTCTGATTTAAGCAAGAGTGCGATATCTCTTAGTCGAAACATAATCTTTTAGGAAACTCACAATTCCTCGTCTTTTACGACATGCTCATCAAAGGGCAGGATTGGCATTCTTTTCTCTTGCTGGAAATATGGAGCCCAGAACCGATGCAGTAATGTTTGTTTTTTCTTAGTCCGTGTTGAAATAAGGGTGCTTTATTAATATCCTACCCCAAGCAAGGGAAATCCGACGATCACGAGACAGTCTAATATTTCAGGGGGTGGTAGATAGGCTGCATGCAGTCGTGGGACCTAGGCTGTAATCTCTGGTGGAACGTAGTTGGGTTGGGGTTAGGGCCAGTTCTGGATGTTCTAGGGTCGTTAAAGGCATCAGAAAGCCGGAAACCCCAGTCTTACCACCCTAAAAAATGTTGGACTGTCCTGTGACGTCATCTGAGGTAGGATATCAATAAAGAACCGAAATAACTAAACCTGTCATCCGACAATGTTAATGACTCAATGACATCCACTGACATTCAGTTTTCTCCGGGTGAGTTCTGATCCGATGTGCAGTCTAGAAATGGAAGTGAGAACATTCTGATATTGTGTAATCAATGATCTGACAGCCTGACCCGTAAGGCGCAGCTTAAACTATTTCTAACATGCAATGCGGTGAGAAACATCCAAACAAACGTGCTGAGCGCATGCAATGTACGTTGTGGTCCTACTGACTGCTTCAGACATGACATGAGTATCTAGCGATTGACAAGACTCGTGTCTGTTGGTGACTTTCAGAAAATGAGGATGCGGGTTCTTTTTGGTTGGGAAGGGGAATAACTACACCGGAATAACTTCTCAATGTTATACAATCGGTGGATATTTTAGTTATCTTTCCAAGGCAGGGAAGTCGACACGAGCACACAACTGAAGAGAGAGAGAGAGAGAGAGAGAGAAAGAGAGAGAGAGAGAGAGAGAGAGAGAGAGAGAGAGAGAGAGAGTGAGAGAGAGAGTGTGTGTGCGTGTGTGTGTGTGTGTGTGTGTGTGTGTGTCGGCTCTGTGGCTTAGTCGATGCTAACGGTTCGTAATGCTAGGATACCGGGTTCGATCCCAGCTGCGGATCATGCACCTTGCGTTGGTTTCTACAGTGGTATCAAGAAAACCGACCGTCCAGGAAGCAATGGCAAACGACTGGACGTAAATTTGCCTAGAGAAACCATACAACAGCTAGGAGCTGATGGGGTTGGTTCTGTAACGTCCTGTAAAGGATACGCAACTAGCCTTAGTGTGTGTATGTGGTGGAGGGGGGGGGGGGACGGGAGAGGGGGGAGAGGCGCTTAACTCCTTTATAACGGCATCATCATCGCCGTTATCATCATCATCATCATCACCATCATAATCAACATCGCCGTCACCATAATCATATTTCTGTTGTGCCTTTACATATGCAACATAGAGGACCCAGTTAACGCCTCCATTGTTCTCCATTCCGTGCAGCCATCTTCACATCTTTGAGTGAATGAATCCAGTCACACGCCCTTTGACCTGTTTTATCAACGTTCCTTTTAGAGTTTCTCTTATACTTCTTGATTCCTGAATCCACTTGTTTCCCATTTCAGTGACTGTTTGGTGAGTCTTTGTCTGCTTATTTTCATATAGCCCCGTTTTCTGTGTCCTAAAATTGGTAATACCATTAGTCACCCCTTGCCCTTCTTATCGTCATCATCATCATCATCATCACCATCAGCATCACAAACATCTTCCTCTTCTTCCTCTTCTTCCTTTCCTCGTTTTTATTTTGTTTTCCCCACGAGTATCCCAAGCGCTCGAGGTTCACTTCTGCACATATCACCAGCCTTCATTCATCTCTATGACTGGTCTTCTCTTTCCAGTTAGAGACTTCAAGTTTTTATAGATTTGCTTGTACATTATCTCTCCATCATCCTCTTGGTCTGCCTCACAGTCTACTTCTTCTTCTTAAAGTCAATGTCTATCCACAAACTTCTGTCTCATGTACTTGCAGTCAACTCTGATAATCCTCCATGCTATGATGTCAAACAGTCCAGCATCTGTTCTCTCGGTCTCCGTCCGCCTCTCATTGCCTTCTTTTTCCTATTATCAGGATGTACCCCAGTTTTCTCCTTCTCATCACACGCCAACGAAAGTACATTGTCTCTTTCTGATGGTCGTCTCCCATTCATTTCTTGCGTGTATTGAGTCTAATGACAATATCTGACCATTAACATGAATACATTACCGGTCTCTTGATCTGTTTCAGCCAGTGGCCTGTACCCCTGAGCGATGTATGGGGTCCCTGTTGTCGCAGCAGGCTCACCGAGCGACTGGGAGTCCACGATCCACGGAAGAGCTGTTGCTTCAAGCTAAGGATTTCATTGAGCAGTATTACACATCCATCAAAAGGTAGGCCTGCCTTGTTGTCACTGAACACTCAAACTGGGCATCCATTCTCATAGATCAGTGGTTCTCAATCTTCCTAATGTCGCTACCCTTAAATACAGTTCAAACAAACTAACGAGCAAACTTGATATTCAAAGGGTCATAAACTGGGCACGCAGTCCCGTTATACATTTGGCCTTTCCAAACACTCATCTTTAACACAAAAGTTGTATTTTATCAATAAAGCGTGGCCTTTATGTTATGGTTTATAGACCATAAATGCGACAGTGAAAGCACCCAAGCATACAATAATGGTTTTTGCCCCTTCACATCTTCAGTGAACATGTGTTTCCGGATTGTCTTAGGGGACCCCTGTGAAATGCTCGTTCGACCCTCACATGGTTCGTGACCCACAGGTTAAGAACCGCTGCTATGAACGGTATGATCTCAGCAATGACAACAGTATCTACAACTAGCATCAGCACTACTAATACAACAACTGCTACAACAAAATTTACAACAACAACAACACACAAACATAAAACAACAATAGCAACAACAATACCAACATCAATCTACTACCAGTCGCCTTGGCCTAGCGGCTAGACGTTAGCCTGCAGAGCTGGAGGTCGTAGGGTTCGGTTCCTGACGAAGCCGTACTTTTTTTTCCAAAAATACCTTTGACTTCAAGGTTGACCCAGCCTTGAGTGGGTACCAGGTGCAGTCATGATGGGGTGTAAAGGCGGTCGGCGTGATGTTGACCACATCATTCACCAAGTGCCCATTGGTCAATAAAATATAGGTCTAGCCCTATATGCCCAATACGCCTTTAGGCGTGGAAAAGATCTTTTACTTTTTTTAACTATGGCATCCGCTGCTGTTGCTGCCACTGTTGTTGTTCTGTTATTTCGCCCACTTCTTCCTCCTCCGACTACTAGATTCATTTGTTGTTGCATTCAAAATACATTCACTGTTGTATTTTAATGCATTCATTATTGCATCCTATAATACCACTACTGCCGCCGCCACTACTGCTACTGCTTTTATTACTACTACTCCTTCTGCAACTGCTAAGACTAATACTATTACTTGCACTACTTTTGCTACTTCTACTACTACTTCTAAAAGTACTAATGCTACTTCTAATAACACTTTTACTACTAGTAGTACTGCTGCTACTACTAGTACTATTACTATTGCTGCTGTTGCAAATACTATTATTTGCCTCTGCGTCTGTTGGCGCGTCTGAATTCTACAACATAAACTAGCCGGAGTAATTATTACAACGCTCACAATGTAATCATCAACATCGATCCTGAAAGCAACTAACCACACCAAAGGCCATTCAGTCACCACACTTGTGTTTAATCCACATTAACTCTTGACACACGGAGACCCGCTGAAAGCTTCTATCTTTGATTTGACAGATTTATTATTATGCAGATAAATTATTTATTACCAATCCATAGACATACTGCGGTAGATAGAGTGGAGTGAATGGGGTGTGTTCAAACACAGACACGAGCAGCGAATTACATGTGTTTAGTTAAAAATAGTATGAGTGCAAACTAGGAACAGGCGATCGAAATTCTTTGGTCAGGTCACAAAAATGAGAAAACTGGAATACATTGTCACGGTCGGAAAGTGAAGAAGAGAAAAGGGGTTAATCCAAGGAACTGGGACTGAAAAGCTTTACGGAATGGGGAAGCAGAGCAACGTGTACAAAACAACATAAAACAAATCGACGTTTCGACCGAGGCCTTTCTCAACACGAACTGAACTACACTATACTAACAAAGGGAAGAGTACTCTAACCACCAAGAGGTCACGTGAGAAACTATAAAAAAAAAAAAAAAACTAATGTGGAATCAGTAAAAAAACATAAATGAAGGCTCGAAAATTCGTCCTAGAAGTAATAGTGATAATACATAATACTGTTAGGAATGAAAGAGTAGTATAAATAAAACTGTTAATGATTTATAAATGGTACTTATAAGAGATAGAATAAAGCAATAATACGAAATAAAATAAAAAATAAAATAAGCATAAAAATAATGCAATGAAAATAATGTTACAATAGTAAAACTGTTTTGATTGAGGTATGCTGGACAGCGATGCCACCTGAGGTAAGAAAACATACACTGTGGATAAGACAATTTTTCCAAAACGAGACGCATGGTATGATCGCCAAAGCAAGAATTTATCGCTGTCACATATATCATCTTTACCTCTTTGGTCGGAGCTGTTAAAATGTAGAGGGATTGGGTTAAGTGTCTTCTTTTCAATATTTGAAAGATGTCATCGGAACTTATCAGCTAACTTCCTGTAGGTTGGGGGAAATATTGGTTTGGAGGAAGGATCTTTTATTGAGGAGGCATCACCCAACTCTGAAACCCCGCTTTCTATTCAGCCAGAAGTGACGCCCCTGCAGCTGACCCTACAGAAGATATAGTAGTTAAACACACTATCTTTGCTCATAAAGAAGGCAGTTTTCATTGTGTTTATGTCGTGTTTTCAGAACGCAGTTTTGATTGTTTTCACCCCATGATATCGTCTATTCTTATGTATACCAGTCTCTAGAGATACATTTTGATTTTCTTTATATATTAATTTTCCCAGTGCTAGAAATGAACAATTCCTGAACGGTTTGTATCGTGGATGCATTAAACATACATCAATCAACTTGGCACCCACCAGATGCGATGACTAAGAATCAAATAGGCTACCTCCGTATAAACAACGAATATAGAAGCTCTTTGACGGATGTCCGAACACACAGAGGAGCAGAAATCGGCACTGACCACATCTTATCTGAAGGAACTGTAAAGGTTGAACTAAAATCAGTTGTAAAATAAAAACAAAAATTTTGCAACAAAGAATAGATGGGCACAGACTTCGCAAAGTAAAAGTAAAAGAAGTGTTCCAGCTTGAAGTAGAGAGATTAGAGCATTACACTATACAATACACGAAAACAGCTAACTTATACCTTCAAGCTGCGGGGTGGCCCCATTGAAAGTAAGGATGGTACAATGCTTACATCGGATGGCACAATACTTACATCAGATGGTACAATGCTTACATCAGATGGTACAATACTTACATCAGATGGTACAATGCTTACATCGGATGGCACAATAGTTACATCAGATGGTACAATGCTTACATCGGATGGGCCCAATACTTACATCAGATGGTATAATGCTTACGTCGGATGGCACAATAGTTACATCAGATGGTACAATGCTTACATCAGATGACACAATAGTTACATCAGATGGTACAATGCTTACATCCGATACTAAGCAGAAGAGATCTTTAATAGACCTCGTCCACCTGAACCAATTAATTTTGAAGAAGAATCTAAACTGACTCTACTACCATTAAATGAAGGACAAATAAGTAACATGGAAATCAGGGAGGAAATAGTTCATTGAGAAACAATAAGACAAATATATTGACTACACTAACAACAGATCAAACAAAATATTGAAGTCTAAATTACAGAGTTTGAAAACTAATTTTCAGTTCTAATGTTATTTCAGTTTTAACATATGTAAGTGAACGTCCATAGACATGGTACAAAAGTTTAAATGTATTCAAAAACAAATGTCTGAGGGAAGTTATAAAAATAAAATGGGATTAATTCAATTGAAGTGAAGAAATCTAAGAAATGTCAGGGTTACCAACAATCAACAGTTTAAAGACAGAGAAGAGGGTGCTACAGTGGACACATTGAGAAAAAGGCAGCAGAAAATCACCAAACATGCATCAAAATGAGAAATAAAGGAGGCGAGGACGACCAAAAGAAACCCTTAAAAGAACGTTGATGAGAGGGGCCAAAGCTGCTGGACTGGATTCAATCCTTGATATTGAACTGACTGTACAGCATAGAATGGAATGGAGGAACAGACTACAAGCCCGGTATGACGTATAATGGTTAAACATGACAATGAATGCATGAATACAGTTATCCCTTTGGCTTCATTCTATTATTCATCTCTCTCTCTCTCTCTCTCTCTCTCTCTCTCTCTCTCTCTCTCTCTCTCTCTCTCTCTCTCAATCTCTCTCTTCATCTCTCTTTCACTCTTTCTAAAAATTGTTTTCTAATATCTCCCTTATGTCCTTTTCCTATGTAATGCCCAACTTCAATAACATTCCATCTACCAATTATCAAGTTTTCGCATGTGCATCCAGTCACGCGACAGTCGGTTTTCTTCAACTCTTAATTCTATACAGTCCTCCTAGTTATCTCCCTGTATTCCTCAAAACTGATTAGGTCACCTATTTGATTACTTCCATTCCGCTAAGGAGTCACTTAATGAATGACTTTAGTACATCGCCAATTCTTCCCTGCTATGAACTGCAACAGTTGCGTGACGAAGGGAAAATTAAACAAAAACTGCTACATTGACAAGTAAAAGGTCAAATGCCTTAACGTTGTGACAAATAATGAGTCAACCTTTGACACTATCACAGATTCGCACGTGTTAACGCTAGCTTTACTCCCCAAAGAGTCATGCAATCAAACATCGACACGGTTGATTTAAAATGTACGCTATTTAATTTTCAAACACTCTGGTGCTTTGATTGTCGGGTTTAGGGTCTATATACATACCCGGCTGGTAATGCACGGGTGTGAAGCTCGCACACTGTGTACACAGTGCAGGGGCATACTCTATCTTTATGTTGCGTCAACAAATACCTGTTCCAGTATTGAAATCAGCGCTTACCAGAGAGACTGGCCGCTCAGGTGGTAAAATTACTATCTGACACGTCATGGATTCAGTAATACATCATTTATTTCTCTGTCTCTCTCTCTGTCTATGTCTGTCTCTCTTTCTATCTCCCCCTCCCCCTTTCTGGAATAGATCGAGTGCAGCTGAGATTAGCAATACATCTATTGTGAAAATTTCAGTTAAAGAATTCAATAACAATATCGACAGATCTCGCTCCTCCCCTTACATATTTTCTATTTAAAAATTAAAGGGAAAAGGGGGTGGGGGACACACAAAGCCCCCCCCCCCCCCGCCCACATCCCACAAAAAGAAAATGGAAGGGAGCTCACCCCACAACCTCAACCAGGTTCTCCAGACCACCCAGTCAAAAATTGGGTGGCTATCAAGCCCGGCCTTTCCCCACTCCTCCCCGAATTAGGTCAGAAAACAGTCGCGGAATCCCAAATCACGCCCTCCTCACCATCTTATATCTTTTGTAGGCAAATAATTAATTTGGCCTACATCCCAGGTCTCTTTTTCTACCCATAATTTTGCAATGGGGCTGAAACATATGTGTAAATATTAGCTTTCAAAATACTTGTTCACACGTTTCATATTAAATCAACTTGGCTGAGTCACCAATTGGCATCCCAGCACTCGGGGCATTCCCATGCGTGCTCCGTCCTCACCCTCAGCGCAAAGTTCCAGTACTAAAGGTACCGGTTGAAAACTGGTTATATGATCGTAGTTAGCCGGACAGACCCTTCTGGTTACACCCAGGTGCATCATTCTTCTAGGCCATTATAATCTAGTTTCTCATCTGACTTCGTTACTTGTTCCCAAAGGGCCTTGATCACATCTGCCTTGCCATGTATCAGTTTACTACCTGGTGGTACAGGTCCAGCCAATCTGTCTGACTGTTAATTACCCACTACGCTGGCATCGCCTGAGAAAAGTATGCTAAATATCCGTGACCTTCCCAGTAAAGCTTGCCACTCTGCTCCAAGCAACCTTGTATTCACTTTTCTCAGCATGATGTCACAGGGTACATTTTAAAGGGGGGATAGAGAGAAGAAGATATAAAAGTAGAGAGAGAGACAGACGACGAAGAAATAATAGTTTAAGGATGTATAAGAGGACAATAGGTTCTTTTGTGTGGAGAGTGTAGTAATAAGTCTACACCCCAAACGATCAGGTAATAGTCAGTGGAGGTCTTATGAAGGAGAGAGTAGATATATAGTAAAGTGGTGGTAGTATAAAGACTACAGCAACTAACAATAATAGTACCACTCCTATACTCAACAAACTAATGATGGAATAAAAGAATAACAACTAACAATCATGTTTATTAAGAAACAGCATTACAAAGTCGTCTATCTCATGTTACACAACCAACAGATGTTATATTATGCTATAAACAGAGCGTCCTCACTCTATAAAAACTCAGCAACTGACAGCAGAATCCACTCTACTCAAGGATAAACTAGCAAGTGACATCTAGAATCTCCTTCATTGCTCTAAAAATAATAAGACAAATAACGTCTATAATCTAGCCATCTGCTGTGTTTCCAAATCCCGAAGACCATCTAACCATACTGCTGATTGCAGTCCAAAGACTAGCAAACCTATAGCCAAATACCGACTACCATCTAGCCATACTGCTGATTGCAGTCTAGATACCATCTACCTATAGCCAACCCAGCACACCATGACAGAAACTGCCATGTCACAAATAATCAAGCAATGTTTCATGCAAATCTGGCAAGTTCCACAACAGAAGAATGGACTCAGCTCCATCGTATCGACATCATCCGAATGCCCACAGCATCCTTCGTTGGCGGAGATCTCAGCGCAAGTGTCTCTGTCAGGGCTCCCTCGCAGTGTATATACCCATGATGCTACTTGGTTCTACCTCTCTCCTTTGTGCCTGAGTTCATGAACCTGTGTCTTCTTAGGTTCATTAACCTTTCTCTTTCCTGCCAAAGATGGTTTTCCAAGCCACTTTGCATAATTGGATGGAAAAACCCCAGGAAATCTTGTGTCGTTGCCTTTGTTCGTTGCCCTGCCTCTGTTAATTTACGAGCATATTGGCCTACAATAGTTCCTGGACTAGCTTGGCATACACCCACGTCTTTGTCGACTCTTGAGTCAATGCTCTCAGGGTCGTTATACTATGAAGCGACCTTCTTATTTTCAAGCGACTCTATACCTTCTTATTCCTCTGTGCTTCTTTCCTTCTGTTTCCTTCTTGTAATATTCGTGACTGTAATCAGTACTGTCACAATGATATGTGTATCTTCTTCTTTTGTCAAAATCTGCTTGTGCCGCTAGGCGTCGCAGTCTATCAGATGATCGGCAACCGAGCCAGGGCGCGCTCAGTCGCTTCATATGCCGTGATGTCCTCAAGTTGTCAGTGACTCCTTCAATCCATCTTCTTCTTGGTCTTCCCCTGCCTCTTGGTGTTTCGATTTTCATGTTGTATGCTCTTGATGCTGGCATCGTTGGTTCCATTCTCATTAGGTGACCAAACCATTTCATTCTTTGCTTCTCAATAAATTTAACGATGGGTATGGTTCCAATATCTCTTGTAATCACATCGTTTCTCACTCGATCTCTTCTGGTTTTATTCGCAGCCATTCTCATATGTGTATGCTTCTTGTTATTTAGCCATAGAAAAGCTGCAATGACCGCTTCCAACTGCATACTTATGCTAGATGTTGTGGTATCGTTTGATATGCTGTCCTGCAAAAAGGTTTTTCCATTGGCTTTCGCTACGAACCTCCACTCCAGAAACTTCTCCTCCCTCCCAACATTGAATCATTTGTATAGATAATCAAATAATTTAGGTGAGAATTGTCGTGAATCAACTGTTGGACTTCCACCTCCGTAGCACCCGCTGACCACTCTCTGCACTATCGGCCCAATGTGATCAGAACCCTACACAGGTCAGTCTTTTCCTCTAGTACTCTGACTCACTCATCTCCTCGCCAGATGTTCTCCAGCATGCATACTTGTCTTATTGTGTCTTCTGCTTGAGCCATTCACGATTTTCCTCTTTTCAGCTTGCGACCCTTAACTGCAGCCAAAGCCTCACACAGAGAGTGCTCATTGTCTGCAGCTACTCTGAGGTATGCCTTAGCCTGCAGCACCTTTAGCCTCTCTGCAGTAGTCGGCAATGCAAGCATTTATCGCATGCATACAATCGGGGTGTCTCTTTTACATGCCAGTATCACCGGCATAGCTTCATTTTGTATGCGCCCTTGTTTCTCTAGCTGACTCTTCGAGGCAGTGAGTAACCCCATTCCATAATCAATCACTGAGATAATTAGGTGCTGGTAACGTGTGAACAACATTCTCTGCTCCATGTCTATTGTTGCCATAATCTTTAGCGCCTTAGGACATTTTGAGCCTTTGTCATAACCTCCTTAATGCGATCCTTGAAAGACAATCTTCTGACAAAAATGATTCCCAGGTACCGCAGTCTGCTGTCTCTTTTGATATCCCTGCCATTTATTTTGGGACTCTGAACAGCTCTAACAATCCTGTTGTCCAAAGAACACCACTGGAAAAGGTTCCAGCATCTATGTTTATATGTGTCGAGGAGGATTCTCCCTGTGGGTTTTATATCCTTCCAGGATATCCCTTGTGTGTTTCTGAAAATAAATATCAAGGCATGGGAGAACCCGTTTCAGTGTATTGGTAGGGTGAGGGACCAGTCTTAGTTCTTAGTGAGATTTTGAAATGAAGAGTAGCCAAAATTCACTGAAAAGGAGAAACATATTGACGCTATTGCCATTTTAACTGTAATGTTACTACGGCTTTCAGAAACAACACGCCTGCCCACCAGAAACGGATGAACGAGATCCTGGAGTCTGTAGAGACTATTGGAACCTACGAGCTAACCACAGCAGAGCTGAACTTTGGCGCCAAACTTGCCTGGAGAAATGCGCCGAGGTGTATCGGTAGGATACAGTGGGCCAAGCTGCAGGTAATGTGCGGATGCTTGTGAGGTTGTGGCATGGGGAAAAAGGGGGGGGGGGTGTGATAGTATGTGGGTAATGTTGGAGATAACGCTAGAGTAGTGTCGTCAAACCGCATTAGGGCGACTTTTTGGTCAAAAGCGACTTTTCTCCTAGGTCAACGAAATAGTCTCCTGTGAAGTAAAGGAAGCGAACGGAATGATACCTCCATCACCCACCGAGGCTATAACATTTTAGTGTAACCCCATATGCCACATGATCCCCGAGTGGGTTATGGGACCCTCAGTGGGCAGCACTAATATATAGCACTGTCACTGTTGTTGTAAGCTAGAATAAACACGGATATAATATTATATTATTCCTTTATTTCTTTGGTAAGCACACAATTACAAGGCGTTTGTCCCAGCCCCAGTGTCCCCTAACAAATATTGCTGTTAGGGGTCGGGGGGGGGGGGTGGGGAGGGTAAAGGGGGAACTATTATTTCTTTGCTGCGCGAAGAATATAGTGGAGTGTTTATGTAACAATAAGAAGAACTCCACAGGGAAGCATGTACAGCAGGGGTCCATAGATCATCAGTTGAAAGATCCTTTGTCGACGATTGTTTCAGCCCATTACTTTCTATACAGTCTCGGAAAGTGGGCCGACCTGGTTCATGACTCCAGGTCTGGATCTTCCCCAGCTGCACTTTACCGGATGTTCTCGGACAAGGACAAGATGATATGGTGATGTGTAACAAGTGTTGTGAGAATAATTGATATTGTCGCTGCGGTAGCAAATTAGATCAACCGACTACCCCAGGACCACGGTGACAAGCTTTCGAGTGGTTCATCGGACGGCTTGTCAACATAGTCGAAAGGTAGTCGACTGAATAATAATCAGTAATAATAAATAGTGAAATAATGCATTTTACTTTGGCAATGGAAAGTGTGGGCGTCAAATTCAGCCATTGAATGCACACTTCCTCCTGCAGGTTTTTGATGCCCGACACATTCTGACAGCCCGAGGCATGTTTGAGGCGCTCTGTAACCACATCAAGTATGCAACAAACAAAGGAAATCTCAGGTGAGTAGGCACAATCATTTACCTGCCCATACATAATACACTGTAACATTTTGTATACTAAACTGTGTCCTGATATTTGCATCCACACAGAACGACTGCAGCAAATGTCATTCACCAAACAATGAAATACAAACTGTTACTCTTCACAATGCTTAAGGGCAAAAGTGGCAATTGATAAAAATGATAACAATATATAACACTTACCCAACCTGCCCTTCCCTAATTTTGTACACATTCAAACCGCCGAAACCAGGTTCAAACCAGATCTGCGAGAGCCAGTGGTGGATACTCTAACTTCTCTTCTAATTTGCATCGGCGGAGTGTGCACGCATGGGAATACTCAAAGTGCAAAGACGTCAGTTGTGATCATCATCATCATCATCAGGTGCCTTGCCGACTGGCATGGGCGATCATGCCTCTCCGCAATTTGCGATTTCCTGCAGAATGTATCAGTTCGTGTGCCGAAACACCTCCATGCCATGCAACAAGACTGTCAAGAATCTTCTCTCGTTGTCTTCATCTCTCCCTCCTTCCACAGATCTTTTCAGTTGTCACAACATGTTTTATTTTCCCTCTTCTCATAACATGGCCGAAAAATAATGACTGTCTCCTTCTGATGTCTGTGATAAGTTGTCTTCGGGCTCCCGCCTCTTGCAAAACCTCTTGGTTGCTCTTTATGGCTGTCAAAGGTAATCTAAACATGGTGGAAAGGCCTCTAGATATAGAGGTTAGCCACGAATTGAATAAGTGGCCTTGGACCAAAACAGGTAATGGTCTTTGAGAGGAGGCGAGTTAGTTGGTGGGACAGCTAACTCTATAAAATACCTCAAAACTCTACGACATGGCCATCGGCGGGTAAGAGGCGCCATAACCTCTCCCCCCTGCTGCCTTGCAGGGTAAGTCTCTTTAGACAAAGGCTATTGGAGTCAAACCATAAACAAACCGGCGGAAGGCAGAGTGAAACTTCCGCTGTATTATCCCTAGTAAATCATGCTTCAAAATATTAAATCAATTGTGATAACAATACCAAAACCAGATAGGCAAATGCTATCGTTTTCCATGTCTTTAATTACCATTTGTGCCAAAGAAAGCAATTGCCATCTGTCCACAGGTCGGCAATTACCATCTTTCCTCATCGGAAGGAAGGGAGGAGAGACTTCCGTGTGTGGAATAGCCAGCTTGTTCGTTACGCCGGCTACAAGACAGACGATGGGACCGTCGTTGGAGATCCGGCCAATGTGGAGTTCACCGAGGTAGATTAATTATTCGATCTCTACCCTATGGAAGAGACTTGTTATATCATTGTTGTGTCTTGACTAGGGTAGACTTTTGTTGCTTAACTATTGTATGTTTCTTAATTGAGTTGCTTTTTTAAAAGCCAAATGAGTGTATGTTGTATTTACTAATGCACATTTTGTCGCTGAATGATTGTGTTTATCTTAACTCATCATCATCATGTAGCAGGTCCTTTGCATAACGTCGCTCTCATCACAGTCTGCCTGAAAGAAACCGTCTCTCGCTAGGTCTCCCGCCTCATGCCTATCTTTGGTTGGTCGGCCCCTGCCCCTCCTTCCTGGTACCATGCCTCTGCTATAATTTTTTCCAATCCGTCGTGGCGCTTGATATGACCAAAATATTTCAGCTTCCGAGACAGGATGCTGTTTACAAGCCAGACTTCCTTGATGTTCAGATCTTTTAAGATGTCAATATTTCTCCTTTTTTTTTCGTCCAAGATATTCTTAGAATCTTTCTATTGCATTTCAGCTCAAAAGCTTCTATTCTCTTTCTTAAGGACTGGGAGATAGTCCACGACTCACATCCGTATGTTGCTACGGGGAAGATGCATGCTCTCAAAATTCTAATTGTTATCTCCTGGCTGGTGCTTATCCATATACTTTTTAGGCTGTTTAATCTTTGCATTGCTATGGCCATCCTCCTTTTAATTTCTATCAAACAGTCTCCTTTGCTATCTGTTATGAAAACTAGATATTCAAAGTTTGTGACATTTTCAATTTCTTCACCATTTATTTTTATTTTTGGGTGACAGCCAGTTTTATCTGCCGATATTCCTTTTGTTTTCTGTAAATTCAAGAATAGATTTTGATCTTCACTGTACTCTTAAACAGACAATATTAAATAGTAAATTTCCTTTACGCTGTTCGAAAGGAGAACTGTGTCATCTGCGAAGCGAAGTTCCGGAATAGGGTTGCCACCAATTTTGAGAGGATCATAACTGTCACAAGCTGTCTTAACTAGGGAAGCTTTTTTCGCTGAATGATTGTGTCTATTTTAACTAGGGAAGCTTTTTTCGCTGAATGATTGTGTCTGTCTTGCTAGGGTAGATTAGCTCTCCTTACTAACTGCTACTATTAGCACCTACCATTACTACCATTCATCCTGCAGACAATTGTGTCACCGCTGATGGTGCTGCTGCTACTACTGCTGCTGTTTTTCTACTATTGATTACTATATGGTTAGACTAACTGTAAATTACGCCCGACGTTTTCTTCTTTTTCGTAATTTTTTGGGGGGGTTTTCATCATCTTCATCCTCCTCCTCTGCTTTCTCCTCCTCTGCTTTCTCCTCCTCATTGTCAAAATTGCCATCCCCTCCTTCTTCTCTTTCTTGTAGTCGCGTTCGTCTTTTTCTAGTTTCTCTTAAATAATTCTTGAATAAAGAAGCGTGCTGTCAATCAACACAATATTCTAGAGGTAAACAAGATCAAAATAGACGCGACAAAAGAATTTTACGTTGATCAAGGCGTTTTTCCGTTACGGAAGCGAGTTGTCCGTTTTAATTTTTGTTGTTGACACTCAAATAGATGACCGCAATTCATCATTCGTACCTTCCTGAACTTTCCTGACACCACCTTTCTGGGTAGCTCTTGAATACAGACATTCGTAAATGCAATAGTGTTGTTACATTATTATACAATACACCCAATGTAATGTACGTGCAGATATTGTTGAAACCATACCATCCGAATAAATCTAGGGCCAAGCTGAAATAATTTTCTTTCCGCTGTTCTACCCCCTGCAATATTTAGACAGAAAACAAATAATGGCCGCATCTTTGGATTACCGTTTCCACTCTGGCATCTACTTAAACAGTCTGGCCAGGAAATATCAAAACTCTGTGTCTAACACAAATATTGTGCCCAACTCTGAGACATATTTCTTGTTATGTTTTCATCAACCCCGACGTTATGCATATTCAAACTAAATTTAGTATATCAGCACTGTGAATATTCAGAAATACACTTAGTGGTCATTGAAATGTCCTTGACCTGGAAGGTTAGTGAATTAACAGTAGCAAACGCAATTATGAGATGGAGGAAAGAAAACAAAAGCTTTTTCAAAAAGATGAACAAATCTTACAAAACAAATATTACACTCAGCTTCGTGGGGGTTGGAATAATTATCGTCACATAGTTGTTGAAGCTATCTTGAGCTGAAACTTCAGGACTGGTTTGTGTTGATGAGACTATGTCGCTGCGGATATACTCTGTGGCTGTTGAAGTCTAGTTATCTTGCCTTTGTGTGGAGGCTATGGGTGTATTTACTGTAGTTGACTAAATGTTTCTCTTGTTGGTAGACCAACAGCTAAAAGCTATTACCCCCAATAACACAACAACTACTGCTACCATTACTGCTTTTACTGCTACTGCTACTACTATTACTGCTGCTGCTGCTACTACTACTGCTACCGCTACTACTACTACTACTACTGCTGCTGCTGCTGCTGCTGCTACTACTACTACTACTGCTGCTGCTACTACTACTACTGCTGCTGCTGCTGCTGCTGCTGCTGCTACTACTACTACTACTGCTGCTGCTACTACTACTACTGCTGCTGCTGCTGCTACTACTGCTGCTGCTACTACTGCTACCGCTACTACTACTACTACTACTGCTGCTGCTACTGCTGCTGCAACTACTACTGCTACCGCTACTACTACTACTACTGCTGCTGCTGCTACTACTACTGCTGCTGCTGCTGCTACTACTACTACTACTGCTGCTGCTACTACTACTACTGCTGCTACTGCTACTACTACTGCTACTACTACTACTACTACTACTACTACTACTACTACTACTACTACTACTACTACTACTACTACTACTACTACTACTACCACCATTACCACCACTACTACTACTATCACTACCATTAGACACTGAAAAGTAGTTTATACCAAGCGAACAGATGGGCCCGTTTGAACGATCTCTTCCTGCCCTGACTCTGCGAGACATTCCAAGAGTAGACGAAAGAAGGAGAAGAAGATAAATCACGTATACTGTGTAAACATGATGCTGGCTTGAAATACGTGTTTGCCACTTGGTTCTTCTGCTTTCAGCAATGTGTTAAGATCGGCTGGAAGCCCAAGTATGGACGGTTTGATATCCTGCCCATCGTGTTGTCTGCTGCTGGATCAGATCCCGAGTGGTTCGAGATCCCACCTGAGCTAGTTCTTGAGGTCAACATGAAACATCCCAAGTAAGTTTCCCTCTCTCTCTCTCTCTCTCTCTCTCTCTCTCTCTCTCTCTCTCTCTCTCTCTCTCTCTCTCTCTCTCTCTCTCTCTCTCTCTCTCTCTCTCTCTCTCTCTCTCTCTCTCTTGACTGCGATATGTACCTTCCTTCGATTGTTGCCAGTTTTCTTTAACGTAACTATCTTTGTTAACTGATGAGAGAGAGAGAGAGAGAGAGAGAGAGAGAGAGAGAGAGAGAGAGAGAGAGAGGGAAAACACAGACATACAATAATATCTGAGCTTCCAGGAGAACTAGCTCATAAACAGCATTCTGTCCCGAACGTTGTGGTATATTTTAGCCAGCAAGGCAACGGTGATGGAGGGAACAGTTTCCCGAAAACAAGACACCGGCAAACCGTAGCGAAAGCGGATACAAAACACCAATGATACACTGACTATGAAAGCACATAGGGCTATAGAAGTGGCCAGGAAAGAGAGTGTTTCTGGCCTGCCGTTGCACTAGCTGTGTTCTTCAAAGGACCTACTAATTGATAATGAGGATAAGACTTTTTCGTTTATTATCTAACTGTTGATTTGATTTCTTGTTGCCATTCACGTCCCCATTCTCAAGAACAACAGTGTTTAACATTCTTTTTGTTCAAACTATCGTTCTTTAACGGATTGGCCTCGGGGGAGTCCTGGTGGGCCTCGGGGGAGTCCTGGTAGGCATCGGGAAAGACTTGGTAGGCCTGGGGAGAGACCTGGTGGGCTTCGGGAGAGTCCTGGTGGGCCTTTGGAGAGACCTGGTTGACCTCGGGAGAGTCCTTATGAGTCTGAAGAAGTCCTTCGGGGCGCCCAAACTTTCTGCCTAATCACGCAAGGGGATGAGGTAGTTAGTTTTTCAACTCCCAGGATTACTGGCTGTGGTTTAACAACTCAAGGATGACAATCAAACTGGTTTCATTTCTAAAAAAAACCCTTTCAACCGCATGCAACTGTGATATTATGGCACCCAACGGTTCCCTAACCTATCTACCACCTGGGAATAAGGGCGATAACTGATTTAGCAAGTCTTTGTGCTGGAACCCACAGGGACATAGAACTAAAGTCAGACAAAAAAAAAAAAAAAATCACTTGGAAACGAGAGCTAGAAAGTGAAGCTAACAAGACTGGAAGAACCTGGCGAGAGCTGCATGCGATAGCGAAGGATAGAACTTGGCGCCAGTTGGTTGAGAGCCTATGTTCCATAGAAAGGCAGAGGACGACTGATGTAGCAGCTTAATGATTCCGTCGAAAGGGAATGTGGCGTCCTCCGCTTCAGTTTATTAGCTGTCTTTTTGGGGCACGAAACAATGTTTCCAGTTTTGCTGGGCAGCAAGTGTGGAACGGTCCTGGGACACTGCGTTTAAACTGTGAACGCACATTCGAATAGTTAATTGCCTAACCTTTGAACTTTACATAATTTGCAGAACCAACCCGGCATCGTTAAGCCGGTTTGGCTTTCTTCTTCTGCTTTTATAACCCGAGATGGAGCATAGACACTCAACCAACGCATGCAAAGTAGTTCTATCCTTTACTATCCCATAAACATGCCCTTCCAATCTTTTCAACTTCCCTCTCTATCTTCCTTCTTCTTGTGTTTTTTGTTTGTTTTGATGTTCTTTTATTTCAGTGCCCCTATGGGTTCCAGTGCAAAGACATTCTAGTTATATTGTTCTCAGGTTTTCCTAACGTGTATCTTATCCAACGCCACCGTCTTTTCTTCACCTCTGGGTGTACTGGAACTTGAATAGTTCTCTTCCAAAGCTCTACATTAGAGGTTCTATCACACTATTTAATTCACTATCTTCTGCGCAGGCACCAGTTAATGCATGTTGGCAGTTTATTAGTAATTGTTTTAGATGTTCACGTTTCCGCTCCATACAACAGCACTGATTGACATTAGAGTAAATCATTCGAATTTTGTAATAGTTTTAATTTCTTCTGACCTCCACAAATTCCTTAGTGCTAAAAAAACACCTCTGAGCTTTTGGTTTGGCTTGTTTAAAGGCAATTTCTACGTCCAGCAGTTCGCTATTGCTATCTGAAGGGACCACGCTATTATTAAAATCAAAGCAAATCGCTGTGCTACCAAATAATCAGCTGTAATAGAACTGGGAGGAAGTAGTGATTAATGATGTGATGTATTACTTCTGTGGCTAGGTATCCTTGGTTTGCCGAGCTAGGGCTGAAGTGGTACGCCCTACCTGCGGTGTCCGGCATGCTGTTTGACTGTGGAGGGTTGGAGTTCCCAGCTTGTCCTTTCAACGGCTGGTACATGGGCACAGAGATCGGAGCTCGAGATTTCTGTGATGCCAACAGATATAACATGCTGGAGGTAATGTACAATCTAGTCTACTCGTTGCTGCCGCTGTTGTATTTGTTGTTGTCTTCTTTTTCTTCTCGTTCTTCCTCTTCCTTTTTGCGTGTCGCCGTGGTGTAGTGTAGACGCAGATCCAAAGGACATGGGTTTCAATCCGAAAGGTGCTGCGCTTTTTTTCTTCAAAAGTGACCTTGGCTCCCAGGTCGACCAAGCTGAAAATAGGTAAAGTCCAGGGGAGTAAAGGCGGATAGCATGATGATGACCATGTTACCCACCAATAGCCTATTGGTCTATAACATTTATGTCTAGCCCTACATGCCCAGTACGTCTAAAGCTGTGGAAAAGCGTCAATTTCTTTGCCCATTACGTGTAGCCTAGTTGCCTCTTTCTGACTCACTGACTTTCTACCCTACTAGGACATCACAGAAACGATAAACACCCGATGACACAAAGTGCCACCATGTGGATAAGGATCGCTCGTGGAGAGGTCCCAAAAACCGCGTTCAGACAATTGGCAATATTTATGGCGCCTATATTGCGGCCCCTGGCAAAAGCCAGGTTGGGGCTCCAAATAACAAAAAATGTCATCCTAAAAAGGACGAAACTGGATTAACCTTGCCTCTTTCTACTGCCCAGATGGCAAACAATAGTGGATAATTACACAAAGTGTCGCTCATAAAGATGATTTATAATAGTCGCTTGTGGCTGGCACGGGACTACAAGTGTATTGTAAAAACTGAGCATATACTGAGAAATCCATGCCACCAAGAAAAGCCCATAGAAATACTTGTAACTTATAGATTGCTGGTCGTATAGTTAAGCTCATGCAAGTGTCACCAGACTAACTCCCTTGTGCCTTGAATTGCGGCCCCTGTTTTACAATAGTTCTGCCCTCCATTAGATCCGTGTTTCCAACGTTTTCAGGTGGCGCCCCCAGTCAGTATATGGTAAGACCCCCGCCCATCGTCCGTTGCCCCTAACGTTATTAAATGTGACTAAAATGAGGATACTAACAAACATCCCGAGTACAGTTAAGACAAATAGGCGTACAGTTGAAAGAGTCAAATAACAAAAGTTAAAAAACAAAAACAACGACTGGTATTTTAGTGTCTAAATATCATTGGCTGGTACTGTTTGTCTTGATGTTGTCTATTACTTTTGGTCTCTTATTGGGCAAGATACAAAGGGGATCAGTCTCCACATTGAAGCCGGAAACGCTTTTTTGTTCCCATGACTGTTAAAGTGGAACATCCTGATTATTACAAACACCTGTGCACTCGATTTCAAAATTTGCCCGACGAACTCCCGACCCTAAGCCACGCTCGAAACCAGCGCACGACAAATCGTCCGCAGCTAGGCTCGAACCCGGCACCCCTGCATTACAAAGGGCGTTCACCTAGGCCACAGACGACGACAAATCGATGATATCAACAGTTATTAGGAAAACGACGGTCGCGATATTTTGGGGGAGAAGCTAGCAAACACAAATTAAACAATTACTGAAATGGGGAACAAATGAATTGAGGACAATTTGACACCCAAAAGAAACCCTAACGCGAACGGCGATGAAAGAAACCAAAACTGCAGGACTATATTCCATCCATCATATTGAAACAAAGGAACAGAATATAACAAAAATTCGTTTGCCTTGGCAGGGACATATCAAAGGGTTTCGAACTTATACAGCCTGCAGGCGAAACAGCAAATAATTCTGCGATAGACAAATCGGGATTCGATTAATCGTGTAGTCGATATCTGCCTTTACATCGCAAACTATCTTCCGCTGTTAGTTGCAGATATCAGGAGGAGAGTCGGCACAGAACCAAGTCTGAACTTTATAGACAGACAACAAATCAAATGGTTTGGCCATGTAATTAGACTGGCATCAGACAAGTCACCACAGAGAGCAATGTTATACAGATACCACGGTAACAGAACCAGAGGTCGACCGCGCAGAATGTGGACGGCAGAAATAGCAGAGACACTGAAACGTATTTTATAAGAAGCGAATAAAAGAGCCCGTTCGATAGAACTTTTCCTGCCCTGACGCTGCGATGCATACCAGGAGTAGAGAAAAGAAATAGTAGTTTCCGCTGGAATGCAGAGGTTTTGAGCCTCACGTGGAGCTGCAACAGAGTACATACAGGTCACCTACATCTCTGTGATCATCCCAGAAACAGGTTCCTAAACCTGGGGTCTGGCCAACCTGTATAGGACCCTCCCCCCCCCCCCCCAAGTCAAAGTGCACTCTGTCTGAGAGGCTAGCCACCCAGTGTCTGCACACACAAAAAAGCCAAATTTGTAAAATGTATGTACAGGCAGATTACCAATTTCATCCACTTCATGAATATTTAGTGGCGGTAATAAAATACAGTAATGATCTTGATCTTGGCCTAGAGGTCCTAGTAAGTCCAATACTATGGGTAAATTGAATACCTGCCTGTGATAAAGATAGGGAACAAATGATTGTATCACGCAATAATTCAGAAACGCAGAGTGCGTTGTTTGGTAAGAGTTAAGCCAATATGATTTCCACCTCAGTTGCTCACGATAGTATTCCTGGCGCCATTTGGAGTTAGTCTGCACTTCTACAGCCGGGGAAAGAGCCTAGTAGACTGACACTGTCCATTCACAGCCCACCCTAATTAGATTTGGCGACGATCATGGCGCCATGGCCGTAAATCTCTAGTTGTGAACACTTAATGGTTGCTAGCGACGCCATATGGCCAGAAATGGCAGTGCCCCGTACTGGCAGTATAAATCTAAACGACAGGCACCGATTGGGTGCGTGCAGTCACGTGTTAGTTCTCACTTGGCAACGAGGATGTGAAAAAAGTCGAGGTCCTTTCGAGAGGCCTGGATTTTTGAGGGCAGATTTATTCTAAGTGGTCCTTGAATTAAGGCAGGTAGCCTCCGGGACAAAGTCATAAACATGAGTTCCTTCTTTTTGTTTTTTTTTGTACCTCCGATACATCACTGGAAAATTGTGACCTTTAATTGAGGTGTTTGATTTGTGTTGACTTCACACTAATATACGACAAAATGGCGGCAGAGATTAGTAATGTCGGAAACTCGTTATTATGGACGGTACAAGATGAGGTTTCGCCATCAGTGCCTCATGAGCACCTGCCTGAGGCCACCATGAGCATAGAGTTCCCATCATCATCATCACCATCGTCATCATCATCATCATCTGTGTATGTCAAGTAACTTGCCATAATGGTTGTCGTAGAGGCTTACGAATTTGTACACGGGCCATAAAACAGCTCTGACCACCATATTACCTCAACATTTTCCGCATAGCACTGCAATTTAAACCAAGTTTATGCGGTCATTAGGGTGCCATAATTATAACTCTCTTGGAGTTTCAACGGGGTATCTAGGCTGACCCTCTTAGTCTACAACTAGAAGTGACACTTATTTAGTCTGACGGTGTCAAACCTTCAGGTCTTGTTGGTCTACCATTAGCACTGATTTAGTCTCACGGTGTCAAACCTTAACGTTTTGTTGGTCTACCACTAGCACTGATTTAGTCCTACGGTGTCAAACCGTCACTTCTTGTTGGTCTACCACTAGCACTGATTTAGTCTCACGGTGTCAAACCGTCACGTCTTGTTGGTCTACCACTAGCACTGATTTAGTCTCACGGTTTCAAACCTTCACGTCTTGTTGGTCTACCACTAGCACTGATTTAGTCTCACGGTGTCAAACCTTGACGTCTTGTTGGTCTACCACTAGCACTGATTTAGTCTCACGGTGTCAAACCTTCACGTCTTGTTGCTCTAGCACTAGAACTGATTTAGTCTCACGGTGTCAAACCTTCACGTCTTGTTGGTCTACCACTAGCACTGATTTAGTCTCACGGTGTCAAACCTTCACGTCTTGTTGCTCTAGCACTAGAACTGATTTAGTCTCACGGTGTCAAACCTTCACGTCTTGTTGGTCTACCACTAGCACTGATTTAGTCTCACGGTGTCAAACCTTTATCTTGTTGGTCTACCACTTGCACTGATTTAGTCTCACGGCGTCAAACCTTCACGTCTTGTTGGTCTACCACTAGAAATGATTTAGTCTCGCGTTGTCAAACCTTCACGTCTTGTTGGTCTACCACTATCACTGATTTAGTGTTACGGTGTCAAACCTTCACGTCTTGTTGGCCTGCAGTGCAGACTGTTGAGATCTTTTCGATCTCAGCGTTAGACCAGGCTAAGTCCGATGTGGCGACCAAAAGATGCAGATATCGCATCTATGCTGTAAACTGGCTCAACACATTTACACCCTCGGATGAATCAAGAAGAAGACCAAACATTTAAGCAACAAGCCAGCGGAACTAAACGGCATGCACAAGTCACAGACAACGTTTAATGGTGTGCCGTCTTCTCGGTGACAGTTCGCAGTAATGGAGCTCCTGCACTGACTGGTGTGTAGATTCCCAGTATAAACTCTCCTACACTGCTGTTAGCCCATCTCTGGGTCTTGTCCTCCCACTCGTATCCCTGTACGTTTGCTTCCCTCCTTTCCCCTCAGTAAGAAGAGTGTTATGAACTTTTCACTTCTATCTTGGTATTTCTTTTTTTAATCTCTTTTGTTTTTCAAGATTCGTTTTGTATCTTGAAAATTGATGAGGGAAAAGCGCGATTAAGACAAAGAGTCCACATTGTCCAGAATTATCTCACCTAGCAATAGGTGTTTAGTCCTTTTTAGGACGAAGTTTTTTGTTTTTTGAAGCCCCACCTTGGCTTTTCCCAGGGGCCGCAATATAGGCAGGCCATAAATATGGCCAATTGCCTGAACGCGGTTTCTGGGACCTCTCCACGGTGATCCTCACCCGCATGGTGGCACTCTGTGTCATCGGGTGTTTATCGCTTGTCTGATGTCCTGGTGGGGTAGAAAGTCAGTTAGTGCGTTGTCCATTTTCAATATCAGGGCTAACCCCACAACTGCTTGGTTTCTGTGACAGGAAAAAACCACACAGTGTTTATTGCTTAGTTCTATCACCACAGGCCCCTATACATTTTCTAAATCTGCTGTTTACAACACGAACCACACCGTATACAGGCGAAAAGCACCCCAAGTGACATTCAAACCTCACACTGCACCCAACACCTTAACCAGAAACAAAAAAGGAAATAAATACACAGGTGGCTTAGAAACAGGACGTACTGGTGACACATACCAGATCTGAAACCCCTGATGAGCTTGCTAGGATCATTTCGCTATAGGCAGGACAGAGGGTAATAATTCGTCTGTGGCTCTCATTTGCCACAATCCTCTCTTGTTTCCATTAACTAATTTTCTGAATACCATAAATCCGAGCAAACTAAAAGACAAATTTCGATAAAACATCTAGTCAAACTAGACAGCGGAATCACTACAATCTGCAATCAGTTGGTCTAAATTAACAAGAAGGACAAGAAGTTAGATGTGACTACATAATCTTACGTCCTTGTTAGTAAGGGAAACAATCCTTTACGGCATTAAGAACTAGAATACGGGTGGGTTTCGAAACCCACCGAACCTGACGCTACTTCGAGATGCCAATTTCCAGCTAAGGCTGTTGGATGTGGATAGACGCGGCATCATTTTAATTTCATCAGGCGAAAACATGGCCAAGTAGGGACAAGTCCGGTCAAAGGGACATCACTCATGATTAAGCTGGTTGCCTGGGTACGTTAAGTGACGCGAGCGGCCATGTCTGGAGATTTGTTGTCATATGTCCCTGTGTCATTGTCACTTGGGATGGCGACAGCCCGCTGTTTATTTGTGGGACACGTCAGTTTCTCATTACTTCCGTCTCTGTCATAATTTATTTCGTCTTTTTCTACGCGTTTTCCCAGGTATGTTTTCCGAGTACACATTGTTGGTGTTGGGGTGGGGTGGGGTGGGGGGGGGGGGGGGCTTTGGAACGCTAGCGTCTCACCCCCTCCCTCACCCTTTCCCACCCCTTCCTCTCCCAAATTATAATTTTGCTGAAATCGCATTGTTCGGCCGAGCGGTTCAGGATATTATAGCCTAGCTTTAAACTACAACATTCTGTGATAGCCACCATTTTAAGGTGAGCGCAGAAGAAAAGTTGAAGAGCTTTACTTGTTTTGCACACAAATCTTCTGTCTGGTGGTCAGTCAGTCGGTCAGTCAGTCAGTCAGTCGGTCAGTTAGTCAGTCGGTCAGTTAGTCAGTCGGTCAGTTAGTCATTCTGCCAGTCAGTCTTAAAAACAACATTAATATATTAAACACCCACACACACACACCATTGGTGGACTGTGTGTTACTTAGCAACCGTTCTGATGCCATAATATAACTGTTCTCTTCGGTTTATCAGGGTTTCCCGTATGTCATCCTGTTTTGATTCTCATTCATACGATGTTAATCTTACTGTCTGCATTCCGGCTGGGAAAACTACCACACACAAAATTTGCTTTAAACCTAAAAGTCTGGCCACTGTCATTAAAACTATTTCCTTTTTTATGTTTGCACTTTGTTGAAATAAAATCTCCCTAGTCGAAATCTTCTTCTGCTTCTTGGCGTTCACCAGCTGTAAACTCCTGCGGAAAGTTACGGGTGTTCGTCCACCTCCCGACTTTAGTCTTTTTCCAGAACCTGAGCGTTGAGTGCACATCCGTTCGACACATCTGAGCAAATCCCGAAAACATTTAACGCGAATATAGGGGCAGCTGATGATTACGAAGGATATGTGTAAGTGTGTTGGCAGGACATGACCCTGCTCATTCAAATGCTTGTTAGACGGTTGCTGACGTCATCAGTTATTCTGTTTGTTTGCAGACAATCGCCATCAAGATGGGACTCGACACGAGAAAGAGCTCTTCTCTCTGGAAGGACAGAGCTCTGGTGGAGTGTAATGTGGCTGTACTTCACAGCTTTCAGGTCAGTACCCGGGCTGTATGACAGCTGAATGAATACTGTACACTTATTCGCAAAGTAACTGTGGGTAGGAGAAATACGACTTTCTTTTTATTGAGGAATTGTCAAGCTAAAGATTAAGGCTGAAGTTAAATAAAGTACAATTAAAGCAACGATTTGATTAAATTTGACGTATGTTGTCCCCCTTTTGATAGGTTGTGGCAAGAGGGGGAGAGCGCGCGCAGGAGAGAGAGAGAGAGAGAGAGAGAGAGAGAGAGAGAGAGAGAGAGAGAGAGAGAGAGAGAGAGAGAGAGAGAGAGTGAAAGAGAGAGAGAGAGAGAGAGAGAGAGAGAGAAAGAGAGAGAGAGAAAGAAAGAGAGACAAAGGGAGAGAAAGAGGAAGAAGGGGGGGGGGGGGGGGAGAGCAACTGAGCCATTCTGGTAACAATAAAAGACAGCAATGAAAAGAGAGAGAAGTACGTATATATCATATTCTTTTGTTTAATGTTATTATCTCCCCTGACGTAAATATATATCTATATGATGTGAGCACCGAGGAGAGCTGGCTCATAAACAGCATCCTGTCCCGAAAACAGATATTTTGATAATGCTAATGGTCATGTTGCCCTCCCAGAGCAGAGATGTTGGGTACAGTTTCTGGAAAACGATGCAGAGGCAGACCTTTGCGAGGGGGGAATACAAAATATTGAAGATATAAAGCACATAGGGTTGAAGAGTCGGCTAGATAAAGAGTTATTCAGGTATGCTGTGACGAGAGCGACGTTGTGTAAAGAACATACTGAATGGTGCTGCTGATGATGATTAAATAAAGTCCTATTCTCTGGTACGTGGAGGTGCTGTACCACACCTGGTGGAGCACAGGACCCAGGCTCATTCTGGTAAGGACCTATCCACACCTCTCCGTGGTCATCGTAGAAACAGGTTCCCTATTTGGGATCGACGTGTCTTTCTAATTCTGAGTGCATCTGTCCTTGGGAACAAAGGAACGAACAGTCTGTAAAATTGATGGATGCCTACGTGATACTGAAGTCTTGAAACAGGGCCAAATTCCAGAAGTGGTCGAACAGCAACACACTTCACCAGCGTTTACAATCCAGAGGCGCCAATGAGAAGAAGATTAGTAAAATGTGTAATATTGAATACAATCATTATCTATAACTGATATTGTTCAAACAGACAAGTGGAGTGACCATCACTGACCATCACGCGGCTAGCGAGTCTTTCATCAAACACATGGACAACGAGCACAAGCTCCGAGGTGGTTGTCCGGCAGACTGGGTGTGGGTGGTCCCACCCATGAGTGGGTCTATTCTGGAGGTCTTCCATCAGGAGATGCTTCTATACAAGTTAAAGCCTTCCTACGAGTACCAGGTGAGCGCATTGTGTGTGTGTTGTGATAAAAAGAGACGCGTGGGTGCAGTTTACAGATGAAAGAAAGAGGTGGGTAGGTGGGAAAGATTATAAAGAATCTCAAGAAAGGAGGTAGAATCTCAAGGGAAAGAGTAGAGTAAGTAGAATCTCAAGGTGAAAGGAGGTGTGAGTAGAATCTCAAGGTGAAAGGAGGTGTGGGTAGAATCTCGAAGTGAAATGATGTGTGGGTAGAATCTCGAAGTGAAATGTGAAAAGAGGTGTGATTCTAAAGGGAAAGGGATGCGGGTACGTCAAGGTGTAAATAAAATGTTCGCTTGATAGACAGCACGTGTGGATGGATTGTGAAGGATTAGGTACGTATGGGTAGATTGTACAGGATAAGGAACGTATGGGTAGATTTTGCAGGATATGGTACGTATGGGTAGATTGTGCAGGTGCGTCGACGTGTAGGTAGAATATAGAACTGATGTCTATACAGGAGAGATCGCGTGTAAGCAGAATGTTTAAGTAAGACCTAGTGTGGGTAAATGTACTGCAAAGCCAATACTGACGAGAATACGTTATTATTGTGTAGGGGGAATTATTGTGTAGGGGGAATTATTGTGACTTCTGCTGACACATTTAATGTTGATGATTTTGGTGTCCGTAAAACTCAACAAAATATGGTAGTTAGGCGTTATTTTAGAAGGGGAAGGGTGATATTATGTCATACAGACCTGCGTGGGCGATAAAAGACAAAAAGACATGAGTATTATAAAACTGTGTGTTAGATAAAATGTATAAGTTGATAAAACACACGTGCGGGTTGGATATACAAGTGAGAATTCATCTGCATAGCCTGAGTTAATGAAAACAGGTGTAGGCTGAATTCACAGGTGAAACCACACTGTGGGTTGAATATATGCGGGAAGAGAGTGTACAATATTTCCACAAATGTCTAGTCCAGTGATTCCCAAACTGTGCTCTGGGCGCCCAGGGGAGCAGCGACCTCTTCATAGGGGTGCCGCGAAATATTCGAAGATACACGTTTTTATTTATCTCTTTCATACGAATAGTCATATTTTTACTTAGGTTTGGGTATCGTGGTAAAATTTTAATTGGAAAAAGAAAAAAAAGAAAGAAAAAGGCGCGGCGACTAAGAAGAGTTTGGGAAACACTGGTCTAGTCAACCAACCAGTGAATAAGAAACAAGTCATTTTTCCATAAATGTCTAGTCAACCAACCAGTGAATAAGAAACAAGTCATGTTTCCATAAATGTCTAGTCAACCAACCAGTGAATAAGAAACAAGTCATGTTTCCATAAATGTCTAGTCAACCAACCAGTGAATAAGAAACAAGTCATGTTTCCATAAATGTCTAGTCAACCAACCAGTGAATAAGAAACAAGTCATGTTTCCATAAATGTCTAGTCAACCAACCAGTGAATAAAAAACAAGTCATGTTTCCATAAATGTCTAGTCAACCAACCAGTGAATAAGAAACAAGTCATGTTTCCATAAATGTCTAGTCAACCAACCAGTGAATAAGAAACAAGTCATGTTTCCATAAATGTCTAGTCAACCAATCAGTGAATAAGAAACAAGTCATGTTTCCACAAATGTCTAGTCAACCAATCAGCAAGGGGTGAAGAAAAAAAAAATCTCACGTTTGCATAATTGTCTAATTAACCGAGGAATGAATATGGAATCTATAACATTTCCATGAATGTCTAGTCAACCGATCTGTGAAAACTTACAATAGTCAGCCAAGCAGTGTCATAACCTGTAAGAAGTTTTTTTTTTTCCTTCCTGAAGAATTATCAACCAAACAATAAGTATAGGTTATGTCTGTCTTACTTTTCATCAATATATTAACAGTCAATAAATGAATGAATGAATCAATAAATCAATCAATCAAGAATAGATATGACTGCATTCTCAGGACACCCCCCCCCCCTTCCTCCCCCTGGCTCTCCGACACATTGGTCAGTGGTCAGTGAAGTGTACGGTTGCTCTTAATGAAAGGTCCGTCTGTCTTTCCCCTGCCATTAGAAAATCGTCCAGCCCTCCGGACACTTCTTGTTGAATCATCCACTCTCCAGATCTGGATGTTGTGTCTGATCTGTTGCAATGTTTATTTGATCTAAGAGAGCTTTCACCTCGAACATTTTATTATAAAGTAGATTACTGCTCAGAGGGGTGGCAGCAGCCAACATGTCCGCCTGCTAATATCTCCCTGTACTCCGATTTAATAAATTCAACCAGTCAATAAACACACAATCCCTCGTGTCTCTCCCATGAACAGGAAGATGCTTGGAAGACACATATCTGGAAGAAAGACCGAGACAAGACCAAGACCTCGGACAAACCGAAGAGGAAGTTTGGCTTTAAGGAACTGGCCAGGTATGTTGTCCATGTTTAAACCAATTTTATTCAGTGTCGTGCGACAACATGTTGTCTAAATATGAGAGTTGGCTTCACTTTTTGGAACGTATGTAGTTTACGAAACATAGTGACCTAGAGTTAAATGTACATTAAACTTTTGTTGGGTTTCGTTAACGTTTTGGTAGGTTATGGTTCAGTAAAGTGGGAAAGAGAACATAGTTGAAAATACAAACCAGCATCTTTATGTAGCAAATCCTTTGCAGAACGTCGCTCTCATCACGGTCTGTCTAAAATAAACCCGTTCTCTTGCTAACTCTCCCAACTCGTGTACATTCATATGCAAGAGTCACTTATATCATGCGTCCATCTTCGTGTTGGTCGGCACCTGCCTCTCCTTTCTGGCACGATAGTCCACCACTCACATCCGTATGTTGCTACAGGGAAGATGCATGCTCTCAAAATTCTAATTTTTGGTTTCCTTGCTGGTGCTTAACCATAGACTTTTAATGCTGTTTAAATCTTTGATTTCTGTGACCATCCTCTTTTTCGGTTTGTGTCAAACAGTCTTTAGAGCCAGGATATTTAAAGTTTGTGACATTTTTAATTTCTTCATCATTTGTTGTTTTTTTTGTGTAACAGGCGGCAATTGAATACAAACTATCGAAAGCAAAATTTTCAGAGAGAGATGACATGTTCTAGTCCTCTACTCGCCACTCTTATTAAAAAAAATGTTTACCGTGAGCAAGGACATTAGACATTCTGCCGTGGTCTAGCGACAAGATGCTCACCTGCGAATGGAAAGTCGTGAGTTCGGGTCCTGATAGGTGCCGGTCTTTTTTACCTTGAAAAATGACTTTGGCTACCAGGTCGAACTAGCCTTTAGTGGATACCAGGTACAGTCCTGGGAAGTAAAGGCGGTCGAAAATAATGCTGACCACATCACCTACCAAGCGCCGTTCGGTTTATAAAATGTAAGTCTAGCCCTATATACCCAATATGCCTGAAGGCCTAGGAAAGGGTCCTTTACTGAATTTGAAATCTTCTGTAGCTAATGTTCCTTTACAAACGGCAGCTTATTGGTTGACTGATTATCGTCCTTACTGTTAACTGCATCATCATCACCA